TAGCAAGATGGCACCAACATATATACAACCAAAAAATATGACTGGCGTACATTACCAAAATTCGACATAATACTCGATTTTGGCCTGGTTTAAGGTAAAATTTCAATCACATTATAAATTTATTTTATGGCCTTAATAAGTGAACATTTTATATTTTTATGTGTAAGTTATTAGTATTTAGTTACATATTTCCTATCAACTCTGTTTAAAGAGATAATATTTATTTTATGACTTTGCATTGTCTTGGAAGCACTATTTTTATTACTCTTACAAACATTATTTTTATGAAGTGCATTCTATAATGCTTCCAATTTATTTTATGTTCACTAAACTAATATTGATGTATTTTTTATTTGATTCCATATCATGATACCATATCATGATTCCATATTATGATACCATATCACATGGCCAAACGGGCCCTAATAGTTTAAATGATGAGTGAATAGGTTGCGTCATTTCGGCCTCGCACACTTTGTTCTTATTTTCGTTCATATGATATAATGTTAGTCGTTAATTTGATGTCCATACCTGTTTTGGTTTAACTCGTGATGTTGTGTTCATAGCTCCGTCTTCGTAAAGTTTCGGCATAGCTAGAGTGACCTTTGCCTTTTCCAGAAAACAATTTTCCTGCCTTTGTTTAAATCTGTAGGTGTTATTTCTAGTTCTTACTTGTTGATTAGTCGAGTTATTCATTCGGTGTCATTGTCCAACCGTGTTGTTTTCTATGGACATTATTTATGCTAGTTTATGCTATCGTTTAGCATATTTAGTTTGAATAGCGATGTCGTTTTGTTTAGGCATTTAGATTGTAGCCATTTTCCTCTTTTTGTTTCAAGTGAGTTAGTTTGACCCTTTAGCATGATAAGCTGTTAGCTTTAAGTCTCCATGGATAAATCAGGTATCGATTATTGCATAAAGTGTGATGTTTGTCTAGTGTGCAGCATGCTCCCTCTCTATCTCTTTATACTTTGGAATCTTCTTGTTTGTTAATTGCTTGTTCATAATGTGAGCTTTCTTTTGCTATGCCAATGCTTATTCTCCTTTTGAACTTTTACTGTCATTATATATGTTGTACCTAGGAATTTCCCTGTGTTAGGATTTTTGGTAGTCTAATGTGGAATTTGTCACTTTCTATTTTGTATTAAATTCCTTCTCGTCCCTGTTAAGTCATAAGATGAGTAGCAAAGGTTTTGTCTTGCTAACAGTGGAATTCTTTTGTCTTTTTTTTAAAGGTCATAAATAATTGTGTCTAGCCATGACTTAGAGTCAAGTATTTTCTAATTGCTTTATTCATATGTTCTAGCTAGGTGCCTTATTTCATATGCTTTATTTTTAATAACTGTTGGTCTTTAGCATTACATGATCGATAACTTAAGCGGAGAAATCTATTTGTATCGATATGGTGTTAGCTCTTCTATATATATATATATATTTATATATATATATGTTTTATCTTATCGAATCATCGACTTTCTTGTTGCTTGTTTGTGTGCATTGTGCAAGAGTCATTAGATTAGGTTGATAATTACTCCTAGTTTGAAGGCCCTGATTACTACTTGATTTTTGAGCTCATAGTCACTACTATTTATTTTCTTATGTTGTCTTAACTTGATTAATTTGTTTGACCTTAGCTTGAATGTTGTATTCACTTTGATGCATTTATTATTTTTGCAACTGATTAATCTTCATTGTCATTTAGATGTATCTTTTAAGATATTACTTTCGAATACTAATCCTTATTTCCTTTTTGTTGCATGTGAAATTTGCCTTGAGTTCACCATGAACTCATCTTCCCGGTCTTGCATTTTGGAAGAGCCATAAAGGCTCAAATTCCTTTTTTGAGTCAGTCATCCATTAAAATCGACGAACAGGTCTCGAAGGTGGAAAAATGCGAAAGCGGAGGATATTGAAAAGATTGGGCCAAAGGCCCACTCTTTAGATAAAAAGGATTGTATTTTGTTTTTTATTGGGCCTAAGCCCATTTAGTCATTATGTTTATTATTTTGTAAGAGTTTAGGACAGATGAAAAATTGGGCCTAAGGCCCAAAGAAAAATATTTCTTTACGTTAGTTTAGGATAGGTGCAGGTGACTCTAATGGGCCGAAGGCCCAAAACAAAAATGGGCCCAAATACTGGCCTAGGCGGATAGGAAAACCAGATTTGGGCCTAAGTTTCTTTCCCTCTTTGCTTTATCGTGTTTGTTTACTTGCCGATATCTGCTACTTAATCTTAAGGTTTTAAAAAATTCAAATCCCCGAAAGACACCCATTCTGAGTTAATTACTTAACTAAGCTATTCATCTTTTACTTGACTAAATAAATAAATAAATAAATAAATAAATAAATAAATAAATAAATAAATAAATAAATAAATAAATAAATAAATAAATAAATAAATAAGTTTATAAAATATTTCATTTAGGTAATATTTCAATATTTTTCTTTTAAAATGGTCCTAAAATTGTTCAATCCAAATTAAGTCAAACAAATCTAGCTAAATAATTAATTGCCGGATAACCGCGTATTAGCAGGCATTTCGGGTGCTTTCAAACCCTTCCCGAAATGCTAATATGAACCCCGAACTCCTTTGAATATTTTCATCAGATTTATGTTTTAATCTTTTGAAAAAAATAGTTTTCTTGATTTTTCTTAAAAATTAAGTGGCGACTCTAAACCAGTATAATTATATTTTCTTAATAAAACAACAATAACTTCAGGTCTTCGAATTCTTCGCAACTTAGACAACAATCTTTACATGTACGTTGATGCCAATTGGGCCGGAGACCCGAATGACAAAATATCCACATCAGGTTATGTTCTTTTATTTGGGTACAATCCAGTGAGTTGGTCATCCAAAAAGCAACAAGTTGTAGCTCGCTCATCCACTGAAGCAGAGTACAAATCAGTAGCAAATGCACTTGCCAAACTCATATGGGTGCGCAACTTGCTCAATGAATTGCGTATCACCATTCCAAATACACCCACAATCTTTTGTGACAATGTTGGTGTCACTTATCTCTATCATAATCCAGTGTTTCATAGCCGTATGAAACATATTGCTGTGGACTTCTGTTATGCTAGGAACCAAGTTCAAGCGCATCAGGTTCTTGTCACACACACTCACACTTGTGCTAATACATTTACCAAGCCCTTGCCAAAACCAGCCTTTGAACGGTGTCATTCCAAGTTAGGCATTGTTGCACCACACTTAACTTGAGGGGGTGTATTAAGCATTAGTTACGGTAAGAGTTACTATTTTAGAGTATCAATAGAAGACTCCCCCTATTGTTTAGGAGTATAGGTTGAAGTTAGTTTCCTTAAATTTAGTTGTTGTAGGTTGTACTTATCTATTGTATTTAAAATTTGGGTACTGAATGAATAAGATTATCTTTTCTACTACTTTTCTCTATCTGATTTTATAACTTTTTCCCATCCATGTAATCTAGTGTGGGTTCCAAAAACAAATGCCAATGGACATGAAACGCTTTGAAGGATCAGAGCAGATGCACCATCTTCTCTGTTATTGTTATGCGTGTACTAATATTTGCTTGTACTCCCTCTGTCCACTTTTAATTGTCACATTGCGCTTTTCAAAAGTCAATTTGATTAATTTTCATAAGTAAATTAGATTATATTAATTCAATTCAATTTAGATAGTAATCACATGTGCAAAGCTTTGATGCAGAAATCAGTTTTCATATGTTTGACAAGCACTCTGAAGTAGAAACAGCTAATTGGTCATAGGCTTTCTTTCCCATTGCTTCTTCCACTGTTGTAAAAAAATGCTTCTTTTACTACCTAAACAATCAACCTTAGCTTCTTTACATACTGTTCTGATACCGAGTTTTCCCAAGTGATGTTCCTCTATATAAAATAAACTCATGAATATAGCAGAAGCCTCACATGTATTACCGGCTCCATCCTGAATATAGCAGCTGCAAAATGAGCCACCATATATTTTTCCTTTGAATTCGGTATCAATCTGTTACTGATGCAAACAATCTGTACACATGCCTAACTTGTAGATAAAATATAATAGGAGAATAAACTGCAGTTTAATTACCGAGTTCCTGATCCTCACAGAAACAAGTGAGGAAAAAACTGCCAAAAAGTGGATCATGGCACTTTTTGATCTATTAAACAGAGAGTGCACAAAATGTGTTAAAGATAAGAAATCTAATGTGAATTACATATTAATCATATCATTTTAGTTCTCACTAATACATTAGCAGGCTTAACTTCTTAATCTATGGGACTGCGGAAAAAGATATGTTTAATAGTATGCATGAGTTGCATTCCTTGTTACCGCTGGCCTAACGCCCTCACATAATTACTTTCTCAACTGATTTGCAGCTCAGTAAAGAACAGATGCTGATCACTTCTATGTTTCCAGAAATGCGTTCTTGATTTTGTTAAGCCTCTTCACTACTTCTTTCATGGTCACTCTTGATTCTGGCGTTTCCTTTGTGCAGTCTAAACCCAATTCTATCATGGACGCTATGCACATTTCACTTTTACTAGTGATTTGTTCTTCCTCACAAAAAAGATTGACATCCACAACGTCCATCATACTACCTGAAAATGATAGTGTAATCCATTTCCTCAAGTCAAGATTTCCATTGCATATCTCTTCATCTGTTGGCCTTCTTTTCGTCAAAACCTCCATCAACATGATTCCGTAGCTATAAACATCACCACTAGTGGACACTATTCCCTCTGAGCCATATTCTTAAAAATGGATTGAAGAAAAGTTACTCAATTGAAATACAACAATAATTCTCTTTTTACTTCTATAACTTGGAGAGGCTTTATTATGATAAGAGAAAATCAATGAGAGTAGATTTTTTATACCTGGTGCAATGTATCCAAGAGTCCCCAATGTCTCGCTATAAGCCATGAACTTGCTTATGGCTAAAATTTTAGAGATTCCAAAATCACCAACATGAGCCACCATATCTTCATCCAAAAGTACGTTTGCTGGCTTTAAGTCGCAATGAACTATTGGAGTGACATGACCATGATGTAGATATTCAACTGCCATAGCTGCATCAAGCATTACAGTGACTCTTTGATGAAGGTTCAAGTGGCGATCTTCTTTGTATAGCCAATTCTCAAGACTTCCATTGGGCATAAATTGCAGAACAAAGGCTCTTATAT